AAGATGAAATTGGAAAGCTGTGGAAAAAAAGGAGGAAACTCTCCACTGGAAAATACACCCTTTTTTTTCTGGAGGAAGTAAGTACCCACGAGGAAGCTGCAATTAAAGTAAACAATTTTGAAATGTATTGCAACATTGGAAAAAAGAAGAAGAAAAAAAAAATTTAACTTATAAAGAATTAAATAAATTTTTACTTTTCGTATTGAAAGTGTCATTTTTTTCCGCCCCTTCTCGATGAGTGCTCAGACACAAAATTCCACTATTTTGTAACAGAAGAGTGAGAACACAATATCTACCCTGGTAACTTTCTACGAGTGAACATTATCGAGAGGAAGAAAGAAAAATTGTATTTAAGGTATTAATATTTTAAAGGGAATGAGGAATAAATTTAAAAAAAAAAAAAAAACTGAATCAGAATAAACCCGATGGGAGAAGTCGGGGGGAAAAAATACATTACAATAAAGAGAATTTCATTGAAAAAATAATAATAATAATAATAATAAATAAAAGCCAAACCCCTTACGAACCAAAAGAAAAAAAAATTGTTACAGAGAATTTCACACACTAATCGCATTTCTTTTTTTCCCCTTAACTTTTGGGATCGGGAAGTGCGATCCCCCCAATGAGTGCGGCGTCGATCCGGGGGCTCGAGTCCTCTCGTGGTCGTGTTCCGGAAGCTCGGACGCCCCGATTTCGCAGGTTTCGAAAGGACCGACTGTTCTCCCTCTTTGTGGGGGGTCGAGGACCCCCCCTCCGGTGCTTCCTGCCACTCACTGAGGGCCTCCTAATTTCAAAGATATCCCCTTGCTATTTTTAAGTATTACGCCGTTTTATTTATTTTTTTTTATTACATCGATAGACGAAACGAGGAAAAAAACAGTTTCCATCGAAAATGTAAGTACCATAAATTTTATTCCGCATTAAAAAGAGGGGAGGAAGAAAAAAAAAAATTCTGCGTGGCAAAGAATTATTACTTTTCGAAAGCGGGGCCCGAGGTCGCCTTCGGAAGGCCGGGGCCGCGAAACTTGCGGGAATTTCGGCCTTCCGATTTCGAATTCGTGCTCCCCTCGTCGGGATCGACCGGTTCCCGGATTCCCGGGAAGATCCCGCGAGCGGTCCCGTCTTTATTCGGGAAAGAGCGCGTCGGTTTCGAATTTCCCCTGGCGGCGAAAAGGTGCATTTCTGCCTTATCTCGACAACTTTCGGGAATACGCGAAAAAGAAAAACACGTGCGCGAGGCCCCGGAGGTGCCGCGTCGAACGAGTGCCCTTTCGGAACACAGAGTAGCTCGCAGCGCCCCCTGTCCGGTTTTTTCGCATTTCTCTCCCTTGGCGCGAACCCGCGGGAGTTTATTTTTTTTTCGACCCCGGGGTCGCGCGGGGGACCTCCCGCGGAGTCTTCGAAAAAAAAGTCGAGGTCCCAGCTCGTCTTTGAATGTGTTTCGGACGGTCTCGAAATCGGAAAAAAAGCACCCCTCGGCGCCCCTGCAGGGAAAAGTCGCGGCGCGATCGGGAAACGGACCTGAAATTCGGAAAGGGGGCACCCGGTTCCACCCGGGGTGCGGATTTCGTCGTTCCCGGACGGCCGCGGGGGTCCAAGTCGGCACGTTGGAGTGATCGGGAAGCGCGGAGCGCCGGAGGCGACCCGGGGGGCCGCGCTTTCGCCCTCTTCGACGGACCGCACGGTTTCCTCTGCGTTTCGAGAGTCGACGACCCCTTCCGGTGCATCCGGAGACCTTTAAATCCGTTTCTAATTTTCTAGAAATCACTACTTTTTTTTTCATTTTCCTTCTCAGAATTTTTATGCGAAAATTCTCATCGCTCCTATCATTCTTTTCAGGTACTTTCTTCGGGGAAATATATATGTATATTCGAAGATGAAATGGGAAAGCTGTGGAAAAAAACCAGGAAACTCCCCACCGGAAGTTGCGCCCTTTTTTTCGGGGGTGGGGGGGATGAAGTAAGTACCGTAACCTTTATTTATTTATTTTTGTAGCAATTATTCGCTAAGAGTACTGCTCTTTATTAAGACGCATATGTATATTGTAACGAAGGTACTGTCTATTTAATGTGTCACCCTTCGAGAAGAAAGCAAAAAAGAAAAAATCGAATCGGTACAGAGTACATTGAAGGGGGAATATGCGTAGAGGTAAATAATTTTATACACGCGTAGTGCCGGAAAGATTTTATTTCGAACCTATTTTCCACAGAAAAAGAAGACCGGTGCACGGAAGAAGAAAATACGCACAGGTGAGAAAAACACCGTCTATTTCATTCGGCATTTTCTTCTTATTTTTAATTATCCTACTGGGAGGGAACGGTGTATATCGGAAAGCAATGCACCTCGAAAGAAAAGAAGAGAAAAAAAAAAATTAAATCGGTGTACAGTGTCGCGGTCTCTCACTACCCCTACGGTTATTAACACCCCTTTGCACGTCGTCTACAATTCGTAATTCATGACTACACGAGTAATGAATCACTTATTCGCATTATTCCCTACGATAGAAATACACAAATACTAATCAAACTTTTAAGAACAACACATTACGGTGGAGTGAGATCGGGATTCAATCGTGAACGACGGAACACTGACCGAAAACCCGGCGGATAACGCATGCAACGGAACTACGCATTTATAACTCAATTTAGGAAAATCACACAGACCTGATATCTCTTCGAGACAGGATTCGCGACTACTTGAAGGATCCGTAGAGCGACTTCAATCCTCGATATCTTCGGTTACCTCCTAACCGAATGAATGAAGCTTTTTTCAATAATCCTCCTACCGCTGACCGAACTTCACCGAGTCGGACTAATCTCCCGGAATCACCTTCTCAACCCATCGCGTAGTTTACTCCTCCATCGAAACACGTGGTCATCCTCGTCTCTTCGTTTCATTTCTCCCTTTTTATAGCTCTTTCGAACTCGCCGAGCCCGAAACTATCTCGTCTGCATAAGTCACACCTTCGGCTCTCGGCGGGGATCGGTTGAAATAAATACAATTCGAAAGATTACGAGAGAAGGTCGGCGAAACGCGTAGGCACCCGTCACAGCAGCCCACATGTATAAAAGAAATACACAACGGCGGGTAAGAAAAACCGAAACGTTATATTACACTATTTTTTCCCGTTCCGTTTTATTCCGCAGTTTCCCTTGAGGTAAACCGAAATTCGTCTTTTTTTGGGGGGGGCAATCTTCGAAATCTATTTTATATGTTTAATATTACGGCCCGTACCGTTGAAGATTCCGAAAACACTCTGGTTTTGATTTTTTTACGACATTCGGAAGCAAAGTTACAGCATCGTCGGTCGACCGGAAACGGAGCTTGCAAAACCGGAAGTGCGTCCCTACTCGAAATATTGGTAATATGACGAATCGAAATGTTCGGCGAAATGTTTTATTTCGTTCTATCTGTGTTATGAATCAAAACCTGAACTCTGTGTATGTATTTATTGCACTTTTTGTGAATAAAAAAAACATTACTTTTTTTTTTTTTTTTTTTTTTTTAATTAGAAAAAAAAAAAAAAAATATATACCACATCGACCTAAATGTAATGTATATCCAACAATGCAATGTATATTACATTACATGAAAGGAGTCGTAATAATTTTAAAAGAAAAGTTCTGTGTGGCAAAGAATTACAAAAGAACATTAACATACCACTATTGGGAAAAAAAATTAATTAACTTAGTGGTACTCGAGAATTAAAAATTTCAGAGAAAAACGACCTGCACAACTGGCATTACTTTTAATTAATATATATCTATCCCTTCCATTCGGGGGAGGAAAAAATAAAAAAAAAAATACGCACAGGTGAAAAAAAAAAAAAACTTACAAATATCCTACACATATTGTCATGAATTTTTCGGAGCACAGAAAAGCAAAAAGAATAGTAACTGTAGAAAGAAAAAAATATTAATAAAACAATACTTTGGATAAAAGAAATTAAATCGGTACATTTACGAAGAAATATAAATACACAGAGGTGGCCGGAGGGGAAAAAAAAAAATTACAAATCCACAGTCATGAAATTATGCAGTATTACTGGAATGAATATACCAATTTTAGGGGGGGAAGCGAAGCATAGCAAACACTTTTTATTTATTTATGTAAATCATAATGATAAAAAAAAAAAAAAAAGACAGGAAGAACTCGCAACCGCAGCATTGCACTCCACAGGGGGCTGTATCGGTCAAACCTCGATTTCGAAGCACTCGACGGGGCCGGCCGACGACAGCTTTTCACGATCACTTCTCCAGTTCGGCGGAACACCCGAACGAGGCATCCATCCGGACACACTCGAGCCCACTCCCGGATCATTTCAAAGTCCGATGGAACACCGGAACGAAGCTCACACAACACCACTCCTCCCCGACGGCTTCCGGTGGACCTCGAAAATTTCACAAGTCCAAAACCTCTCCTTCTCGCCACTTCCTGCTCGGCTCGAGCCGAGTCTCGCTTTAGCGACCGATTCACTTTCCTCCACCTCTCCCGACGGCGGGGCTCCCGTCACCGGGGCCCGCACGAGCCAGCGCCCTCTTCCGGTGGACCTCGAAAAATTTCGAAGTCCAAAACCACTCGTTCTCGCCACCACTTGCCGTCGTCTTCACCACTCGCTCTTCCCTTCAACACCAACTCTATCCTCTCTCGACTTCCACACGAGCCTCGCACCCACTCCACTTCTCCCGACGGCTTGGCTCCCGTCACCGGGGCCCGCACGAGACAGCGCCCTCTTCCGGTGGACCTCGAAAAATTTCGAAGTCCACTTCCCCTTTCACATCAAACTCGATCCACTTACCTGCGAGCCTCGCACGAACCGTGCTCCACTTCTCCCGTCACCGGGGCCCGCATGCCCTCTTCCGGTGGACTTCTCGACACGCTGAATTTTTTTTTTTTTTTTTTCCTTGCTGCAACTCTCCAGTTTTCGGGGTCCCCTTTGAGGGAACCGTTACCCCAAAAGGAAAGGGGGCGCCGGCGGAGCCAGCGAGTCCTCCGGACGAGGGATGAGTCTCAGTAGATCGCACTATGGTGGGTGCTCTGCTACTTACGACACCCCGTCCAGCAAGAACGTCGTCTGCAGACGACTCTACGCCCACTCACATCACTCGTCTGCCCGGAGGCAGGCTCGCAGGAGCAGGACCCTCGGAGTCTACGGAGGGTCCCGGAGGTCTCGGGCGTGCGAAGGGGCCACTTTCGCCCGCTCGCGCTCCCCGACGGCGGGCCGAGGGGGAACATCGAGGGGCTAGAGCTGCCGTTCGACGCGAGGGGCACACAATGATATCCTCACCGTTCTCGGGACGGCTTCCGACTTAGAGGCGTTCAGCCGTTATCCGAGCGGATGGTAGCTTCGCGCCACCGGCGGCACCACCGAGCGCAGTACCAAATGTCCGAACCTACGGTTCCTCTCGTACTGGGCAGATTTTACCGTCGCGACGACCCGTCTTCATGAGGGTAAAACTAACCTGTCTCACGACGGTCTAAACCCAGCTCACGTTACCTGTTAGTGGGTGAACAATCCAACGCTTTGCGAATTCTGCTTCGCAATGATAGGAAGAGCCGACATCGAAGAATCAATAAGCGACGTCGCTATGAACGCTTGGCCGCCACAAGCCAGTTATCCCTCCGGTAACTTTTCTGACACCTCTCGCGTGAGACTCTCACGCATCGAAAGGATCGATGGGCCCCTCTTTCGAGGTCCCCTTCCTTACTGAAGAACGAGATCGAGCCGGCTTTTGCCCCTTTGCTCTAAGCCAGGTTTCCGTCCCGGCCGAGCCGGCCTTGGACACCTGCGTTGCCTTTTGACAGATGTTCCGCCCCAGACAAACTGCCTGCCTGACACTGTCTTCGGAGCTCTTCCCCGCCACTTTTAAATAAATGGGGGTTAAGTTCACATAACACGTCGCATCCCAAAGGAAGGACCA